GCACAATTGGTGGCTGACTAAATACTTTTTTTCCCCACTGTATATATATATATATATATATATATATATATATATATATATTGAGCGTTATTTCTGATATGAATTAATCATACTGTAATCTATAGAGTCAGTCAAGACATGACATTGCCCTTGATCTTTGAGAAGTGCTGTGTATAGCTACTTTGATTCATTAAATAGTAATAGTTATAGTTGTGTGTGTGTGTGTGTGTGTGTGTGTGTGTGTGTGTGTGTTATCAGAACAGCAATTTCCTACTGTGTCCATCAGTTTTCAATGTCAAATTACTGCATGCAATACTGGCAAAACATAAAAATGCAGACACACACACATAAAGTGACCAGAAAATGTTAAAAATCAAATACGAGTAAGGTGCTAGTACTTATAAAATAAAATTTGCAGTATACAATACAATAGAATACAATAAATAAAGCTATATGATAACGATTGTTAAGATGATGTGTACAGATAATGAATTAACTATATATGTAAGTATAAAGATAAAAGCTGAACCTGGGAGCTGTGCGGTTTCATATTCTCTGATTTATTATCGATGGTAGTCTTTTCTGTTATTTGATGTGAATTATATGATGATACAGACACCTCTAGCACAGGCATGTCTGTAGTTCTATTCTATTCTATTCTATTCTATTCATGACAATCACAGTTCAGGTTTTTCCACAATGTATTGTTCATTTTTAGTAGATAGAGCTTTAAGTGATAACATAAAAGGGAAGATGGTGAATTCTTACAACTTAAGTGCAGGAATATTTCCTAAACCATAGGAGCTCCTCTTCTCTCTCAGCACATAGGTGTGTTTGCATCTATTATCTGTCATAGACAGCGGGAGCTCTGATTCATTGTTTCCTTTTATTGTGTTTCCATTGAAGTGGGAACGTGAGGAAAGAACTGATGGCTGCTGCTGTCTTGAAGATTGTGTGTCAAGGCTGTCTTTCTCTTCTCCTTTAAATTTCCTTAGTTTCTTTGTCCCCCTGTAATTGTCAGTTTGTGTATGTCAGCATGTGGCCTGTTTGCTTGGGGTGCTGGGCAGATTGGATGCCTGCTTATGGAGCATGACATCTAGGGAATGTGGATTTTGTTTAGTATTCACAAAACTAATTTCACTGCCACCTAGTTTGGTCATCATACTGAATGCAAGCACCATACATGCTGAGCTGAGGTCTTGTTTTAAAATGATTAGTTTATGCTGGAGTCTTCCTTCAGGTCTTCATTGTAGGGTACCTTTACAGAGCTGCCAGTCAGCAAAAGACTTGGTGGTGACAGGAGGAACGATTAAGTTGGAATTGCATGGATTGGGTTGTTAAATTACTCAGTCTTTTTTTTCATCTCCCCAGTGGGGTTTTGGAATACATGTTTTTTATTTCCTGTTTTACCTAAAACAGGAAATAAAAAACATGTATTCCAAAACCCCACTGGCCAGTATAAAGCAGAATGTGTGAATCAAATTTTGTCCATGCATGTTGTTTGTCATTGTAAAGAAACAGCTGTGTATTACAACAAGTGTGTGCGCACTCGTTGCTCTTTGCCGTAATAATGCACAGTGAGCAGAGAGCTGTAAGATTGTGAAATATTATCACAATTTAAAATAGCTATTTTTAATATAATATACTTTAAAAATTACTAGCCCTGTTTTAAAAAAATTAATGTGTCTTTGCTGAACAAAAATATACATTTCTTTCTTTCAAAATCATGCTGACTCCAGACTTTTAAAAGGTAGTTCAGGTTGGAATTCAGAGCCAAAGTAGGAGCTGCATTGAGATCCCCACATTTCTGGGACTGAATGACAAAATCTAAAAGGGCATTAAAATATCTTTAATACTTCTTGAGTTACAGGCATGCAAACTTTGGAGAAAAAACTTGAAAACTTGCCCTTTCCCCATTTTTGAATGGTTTCCATTGGCACATAATGTAACAAAGAACAGTATGATGCTGCCACATTTCTTTAGTCATTTTGTAATTTGACAAAATGTAATTTGGCTCTTAATCTCAGGTGAAAATTGCCATTTACATCTATAAAGTAATGAATTACTCATTAAATGCCACAGTTGCATATTTACAATTATGGCTTTCACCAGTATACATGTTTGTCTTTTTTGAGAAAAAAATATTAACAAAATCAAAACTTTGAGCCAGGGACCTCTGGTTGAGTTCGCATGGAATGACCCAATTAATTTTTAAATGTTTTGCTGTGAGGTGGAAACAGATGCAACAGTATCAGCATAAATATTTCATTTGTGTGACTCTCCAGGTTGTGAGAGAATACAGTCAACAAATGAACGTGCTTTCTCAGAGAGAAAAAAATAAAAGTAAACTTATTATGGCTACATTCTCATGGGAAGGTGAAGGCAACACCATTGCAGCCACAGGCTGAGTGCATATGAAGTTTAAACTGAAGGCTTCAACATGCATCATTTATGGCTTTTGCTTGTGATATACAGTGCTGCTTGAAAGTAGTGATGCACGATATTGGACTTTTGCCTATATCCGATATGCCAACATTTTTCAACACATTTTGGCCAATAGCCGATGCCCATAATCGATATATTTCCTTTTGTTTGGTAACAACACCAAGTCTCTTCTATGCAGAGATTATAAACAAATGATTTTTAATTTTGGTTAGTTTTTACAAAAACTTACTTGTTAGAATTAAACAGCCTAAACAATTAAGTTATTTTGTAATGAGAGTACATTGAAAGCTTTGAAAATAAATGTAAATCAACTATAAATCAATCACTGCATTTGTTTTCAGACAGATGCAGTGGTAACCGTAACATTTTATTTGAAGATTTAACATTTGTAGGTTGTCTAAAGCAAAAGAGTTGCTGAAAATCTTTTAGAACTCCTTGAATTTACATTTTCATAATTTGAATTTACGTTGTCATCATTTGAAAAAAATATATTACACATTAAAGGGTTAGTTCACCCAAAAATGAAAATTAGTCCATAAATTACCCTCAAGTCATCCTAGGTGAATATGACTTTCTTCTTTCAGACGAATCCAGTCGGAGTTATATTAAAAATTGTCTTTGATCATTCAAGCTGTTTCATGGCACTCAGCGGGTGTTGCATGCATCAGTCCAAAAGAAGTTCAATAAAAAGCACGTCTTACACGTCTTGCTTTTGGAGTGATCTTTGTTGGTCGACCACTCCTGGGGAGGGTAACAGTGTTCTTGACTTTCCTCCATTTGTACACAATCTGTCTGACTGTGGATTTGTGGAGTCCAAACTTTTTAGAGATGGTTTTGTAACATTTTCTAGCCTGATGAGCAACAGCAACTCTTTTTCTGAGGTCCTAGGAGATCTCCTTTGTTCGTGCCATGATTCACTTGCACAAACATGACCAAACTTTGATTGATCCCTGTTCTTTAAATAAAACAGAGCACACACTAACACACAATCATCTCATTGATTGAAAACACCTGAACAGATAGACTCTAATTTCACCTTCAAATTAACTGCTAATCCCTGAGATTCACATACTTTTGCCATTCACAGAAATGTAATATTGTCATTTCATATCATTTTCCTGAATAAATAAATGACAAAGAAAATGTTTGACTGGGTTCTCTTTGTCTGCTTTCAGGACTTGTGTGAAAATCTGATTATGTTTTGAGTCATAGTCATAGTTATGCATAAATATAGAAAATGCTAAAGGGTTCACAAACTTTCAAGCAGCACTGTATGCCTGAATATATAGGCCGGTGGATTCGACGAAGGAGCGTCCGGAGGGCTTGCGGCAACCACATGTGACGACCCGGGGGTGGACTCCGCTTCGTCACGGTGAAAGCCGATCCGGTGATCCACAGCGCAAAGTTGATCAGCTCCAGGCATGACGAAGCCATATCGTCCTCCACTTTCACAACGAAACACAGCGCCTTCACAACATGGCGGCGGCAACAACAATACTACAGCGAGAATAAAAGTTACGCCGCCTTTCTTTGCGTGAACATTTAGGCGGCATTATGCAAATCTTCCCACATAGTGATGTAGATATGTGGGGGCGTGTTAGAATGAGCCGTTTTAGGTAGGTGTGGCTGACTCTTAACTTTTATAAAGAATATCTCTTTGGATTTGAGACTTTAGTCTTTGCAACTTTACAGATCTTCTTTATGCACCAAGAGCTTGTAACACTCCAAAGAGAAAGGACAAATTTTAATCGCATCATATGACCCCTTTAATTCACAGCTACAGTACAGGTCATGCCAAATCAGTGATATTTAGAGTGAGAGGCAAATGTCTATTGAGAGTGGGATTATCCTTTACAAATGAAACTGGATTGTTCATGGTCTGTGCATGCGTGCTTTAATTCACTGCGTGACTGGTGTGATATTTCGCCAACTCAAGGTCACAGAGGACTTAAGAATTGGGATTTTGCATTTAGTTATAATCACATTTATCCAGAGCAGGATGCTGAAATTTTTAAGACTTGATTGCCTCATTCACTGGAATAAGACCCATTCAATATTTGTTCTTCCTGGCCTTGGTTTAAATGTCTAAAATTCAGTGGT